TATCAAAGTATGAAGAGTTTAATAGTTATGTAAAGTAGACTCACTGGGAGAAAGACCATATGCAGTATGTGTACATATATATGTATCTGGCTCTGGAGCCAGACATGGAGACAACAGAAAAAAGCCAGCCTGGGTAGCCTTGGGCCAGCTGTACAGTCCCAGGGCACCCCAGGAGAAGGGAGGGGTAAACCACTTATGTGTATTCTCTACTTAGAAAACACAGAAAAGTGTTGCCAGGATACAATTACTGTATACACATACATGCACAAACGCACACACACATATGGGGGGGGAAAGACTCCCCATTGTATATTGTAATTTTCAGCTTTTTAGCCTTGAATATAAAATTGCTCATTAAAAAAAAACACATAGCAATTTTCAAAGTTTTCACAACGAGGGGAAAAAAAACCCTCCAACAGCCTTGAGCTTGAGCTGAGTAGAGCTTTTACTTCAAAGGTTGGTTGGGAGACCTTCACAAATATATAAAGAAAGAAAGCCCAAATCCAATGTCCTAATGGTTTCGTGCTGTGTTACTTAATTGTCAAATGGCTAATTAGCAATGCCCAATTTAGCATTCTCAGTGCAGAGAGGGGAGTTCAGAAAGGGGGGGGAAAGCTTTTTTTTTTCAAGGCAAAGGGGATTAACTTAAAATAAATAATTTAAGACAAAGGCAGAGAGAAAGCAAGCTTGCACAGCATTAACGTTAAAAAAAAATGCTACACTCGAGCTTTTGAAAACTGAAAAGGGAAGGAAAATCCACAGCAATTAAACACATCTTCTAACTGCTGTTCCAACTGATCGCATAGATTTACCATAGATGTTAAATGTGACTTTGGAGAGAGATCCTCAGGTTATTACAGATCTTTTTTTGCTCCCTAACACCAGAAGCAAGTTCTGACTTTCCCCCATTTATTTCTGCCAAACCAACCTCCCGTTTTTCACCCACCCACTTGTTAAATTTTAAAAGGATAATTTTAGAACTTTAGAAGTTTCTTATTTATTTTATTTATAGATCAACAACTTTTGGAACCCAAAATATTTTTTCCCTATATTAGTTTTGCCAAGTTTTTAGGAAAAAACGTTGTTGGAAATGTCTTCGTCTAAGCACTTGGGAGCAAAAGTAAATAATTAATTATAATGTGCCATCAAGTCAATCCTGGTTTACGGTGACAGATGTTTCTAGGATTTTTCAAGGTAAGGAATACTCAGAACCGGTTGACCCTTCCCTTCTTCTGAGGGGCATCCCTGGGACGGTGCAGCTGGCCCAAGGCCCCCCAGGCTGGCTCTTCACCACAGAGGCCCAGTGGGGGAATTGAACTGCCAACCTCTGGCTCCATGCCTAAATCACTGAGCAATCCTAGACCACAGATTAAATCAATGATGGTGAATCCCTGGCCCTCCAGATGTTTGGGGGCAATGAGTCCCCTCCATTTTTCCAACCGTGGCCAATGGTTATAAAAATTATAACCCCAAAATATTTGTAATATTTGCACACCCCAGATGAAGAATGTGTAGCTTTCCAGATGTGGGACCTCAACTTCCATTATCCTTCGTCAGCACAGCCTAGGTTAAGGGATGATGGGACCTGCAAAGAGGGTTGTGTGTTAATCCTTCCCAGACCCTGGGATCCCTATGTAATCCAAAAAGAAAGACACCCTGCTATTTGCACGGAAACCCAACTCTGCACATAACCAAGAAAGAAAGAAAAAGAGGGGAAATTACAACACCAAAATAGAGGACGTAGAATGGGACCAACAGGATCTATCCTGCTCGGTCAGTACAGATGCTGCTGGAAGTTTTACAACCTCAGTGGGGTCCAGAGGGAAAGGTCAACAAAAGGTCCGGACCCCTGCAGAGCAGGGCTTCCCACTGCAACATTCTGCTGCAGACTTTCCTTAGGTCTTCCTTCCTTTCTTCCCGACAGAGCACTGCACCCTTCAACATCAGGGACACCCATGACATACGGGCAGAATAAAAAAAAACCATGAAAAGGTCAAGATCGTCGAGACTCTTTTTCAACCAGAAACAGTGGGTCGCTTCTGTGCTAATTCCAGCGCAAGGCTTCTAGAAGTGAAGGATTTGCTGGCTGCCTGCTGTCGCCCATGGGTGTACTCTCAATCCTTTCCCACTCTTTAAGGAGGCTATTTCGATGTCCTTGAGTTACACACACTTACACATCTACACAAATCAGTGGACACACAGTTTTCCATACACCTTGACCTGCCGTTTCATGTGCGGGTGGGCGAGGAGTGGGGATCTTATCTCTGATGCTCGATAACCAGCTCTTAAGAGGGTTTCTGGGTTTTCCTCTTTCCTAGTGTGACTTCCGTAGCGCAAGAGAGGAGCTTGTGGTATTAATGAAAGCTGTGCTAGGACTCGCACTTTAAGCCACTGGGCACCCACAGGGTTGTCTTGGCTCTGAATCCACGGGTCTCCGTTTTCATCGGTGCAACCCTGGAAAGAGCTGTGTGTGACAATATGAAATGAGCTGTTGCATCAGCGGGGAGGGGGATCAGAGGGGAAAACAGAAGTCGATGGTGGAGGCGACCCGGGCATCAGAGGTCAGGGCTCCTGAAAACAGGACAGCCTCGGCCCCCGGATTTCATTCTGAATGTCAAAGGTTGGAATTTCTCCTGGTGGATTTATAGCAGTGACCTCTGAATGCCTAACGGCAATATTACAGAAGCAGAACAGCCTCTCCTTTCCCCGTTTATGATTAATTTCCAAGAGGGCAGCCAAGATAGGGGTGGGGGGACATCTCTTCCGAAGAAAGCAAAGGTTTATAACAAAAGAAGAGAAAAATGGCAGGAGAGGAAAGTGAAAAAAGCAAATGACAAAAAGGAAAGGCGATCCAGGCAATTCATAGGCAAACTTGGTTTTCGTTAGGTGCAGGGGCCAAGTGTGGCCACCCTTCTGTCAGATGCATATGATTTGTGGTACTCCCCATCCCCTTAAAAAAACCCGAAGGGGACCCAAGGGAACAACCCCTGTTAATCACAGCTATTAATCACAGCTCTCGGGACAGCATTCCATCCTGTTTCCATGCAAATGAAGCTTTTGGTGGAAATCTGCAGGAGGGAAGGATCCAACCTTGGATCCCCAGATGTTTTTGGACTAAAACATCCAGAAGCCTTCATCACTACCTGGGATTTCTGGGAGTTGTAGTCCAAGAACATCTGGGGACCCAACGTTGGGAACCACAGCTACAGGACATCTCAAGGACTTCTGCATAGAAGGAGGGCATCCCTTGGCAACGGTTCTTGAAAGAGCGGCTCTTTCTGCTGGCTTTGGGGACGGGTGAAAAGGGGGTGGCGGGTGGGGTCTGCAGGTCAGAACGGCTCGCCATGAACCTGTATGAGTCGGGGCATCAGGTCAGCCGCACACGAACGCTTGAGGTTTGCCGAAGATCAGGGGTGGTGCCCCAGGATGTCATAGAGGTGTGCCCTTGTGATGTCACTGGGATGACGCGGGCCATGGTTGGGAGGAGGGCAGGAGGGATTCGGGAACAGGGGGAATGGACCCCTCTTTCAGGTGAACCGGACCTAACCGAAGAACATGGCAAGGCAGCGCCAGTGGGGGAAAGCCCGTTCTTGGGCAACCTAGCAGATGGCAGAAGGGGCCCAGCAGCTGCGGGGTTTGCTGCCATTCCCACTAGGGCTCAGATCCTGTTTATGCTGCTACGATCCTTACCTGCAGCATTTGTAGCCAGCTTTTCATAGCTTGTGGAAACCTTTCCACCCGCCCACAGGGAGCTTTTCCACCCATAAGACTTCCCCTCCTGCTTCCAGGGCTCGTCCCCCACGAGGAGCCTGGGCACGGCTGTGGCGGGGCTCCGCTCCGCTTTGCTCCCAGCGACACAAAGGGCCCACCGACACGGGCACCTCAGCTTTGCACCAAGTCCCATGCCTTCACTGTGGAGGTTTCGGTGCTTCCATGTCGCTGTCCGAGAGTAGAAGTCCCCCCCCCCAAAACCTTGAAAACCAGAAGTGCCCGTTTGAAAAAATATTTTTCACATGTTCAGAGACTGTCCACCCCTCCTGATGGGTTTGGGAAGTGGAAAATGGGCTGCTAGACCTTCTGGAGTTCTCTATTCTTGAAGAGCTTAACTGAAATAGGCAACCAGTTCCTGTTTCTCCTGGGGCAACACTTAAGAGAAAACCATCAAAACAACATTCACCCTCACCCTCCAGTTTAAGCTGTGAAACAGGAACTCATTCAGGTGTCTGTGTGGACAGGTTAAGTGAGAAATGCTGCCTTGAATGAGGAGCAGGAAAGAAAGAAATGCCCACATCTACAGATACATGTATTCCTTACATTCTCTCTCTCTCTCTTTCTTTCTTTCTTTCTTTCTGTCTGTCTGTCTCTCTCTCTCTCTCTCTTACACACACACACACACACACATACACACACACTGCTGACACCTCACTGCTGAGTTGGCACTCCTTCCACTTCTCGCCACTCCAGACATATGGCACTCTGCTTAACAACCTGCGCCCCATCAATTGGGGGCCATTAGGGTGGGTTCTCTTCCCAGTGTAAATGTTGCCGAATATAAATTGTAATTAACAGCGATGCCAAAACGGCACTTAAAGAAAATAAGCACATTACTAACATCTGCTGGATCCTGCCTGGAGAGCGGGCGATGGCAGCCAAACACTCCTTCCCGTTAAGAGAATTTGTGGTAGGCGCTGTGCGCACAGCAAAGGGTGGGGTGGGGGTGATGTCTCCAGTTACCCTGGCATTGTATCTCCTCCCCAACACGCACAGACACACAGCACCTCCCTTGCTCCTCCCTCAAAGAACAGATCATATAATGGTTGCACCCAATTTACAAAATCTCCCATCAATTCCAGCTAACAAGAGTAACGATCTCAAAAGCCAAGGCAACCCATAGGTAGAAAGTTTGTGCCCAGACCGCCTGGATTCACCCAAGGAAGAAAGCCCGATACTCTACCATCAACCCCCCTCCCCGTAACCCAAAAGGGGGAGGAGGCGTTGACGAAGATAGGAAACATGTGTACAGAAATGTTTATATAGATCTCTGCCTGATGGGTAAATCTACAGCGAATCCAATTTACACAGAGAACTTGAGTCACATTGGAACACACACATGGTTACAGACATTGAAGCTGGCTTGTGACTTCAAATACAGAGTAGCAGAAGCAAGCTCTGATGGAAGTGGGGCAAGGACGAGGATTTCCCCCACCTCTCCCTTTGCAAAAGATGCACTTAGAGGGCACCCATTTCCCCACGAGGCTAAAACGGACATCTCGGAGAAGGGGCGTGCATTGCCAGCCTGCGGTGGTGGCCCCACGGGTGGAACGCAGGGGCTTCCCAAGGGATGCAGAAAGCACAAGGATCTGCAGCTAAGAGCTCGCATGGATGAGAGTGGCAAGCACGTAAGGGGGTGTTCCAAGAGGGACACAGGGGATCAGCCGTGGCTTATCCACAGGGCAGACGATTAAAATCTTCTTCGAAAGGGGGGTTCGGCAAAGGTGGCGTTTGGACAAGGCGTGGAAAAAGCAAGCGCCCGTCCGAGACACAACAGACGCGTTAAGGATACAGCCTGCTTTCAAAAAAAAAAAAAAAAAGCAAAGAGAATGCATTTAGGGTTTGTAAACAGGAGGGGCTGCACACACACCCCCATCATGGCAGCGTAGTAGCGATTTTCTTCTCAGGTCCTGAACATCTCAAGGTTGTCAGGAACTCGTCCCGGGGGGGGGGGCAGGGCAGAATGAGACATGCCAAGTCATGTCCAAAATCACGGTCCTGAGCAAAGCCTCTGGAGAAAGGCCAGGTGTGCTGCTGTTGGGCACAGGAGCTGCCAGCTCATTTCTGGACCGCTTTTGTAGAAGGCGACAGACGTGAGATGCAGGGCACTCGGGCTCAAGAGCAAAAGCTGAGCAAAGTGGAAAGACAATTCTTCTAAGAGCCGGAAATCTCATCGCTGCTTCGGTTTGGCTAACCTCTGCACTGTTTCCCCCCCAAGAATTTAGTCTTGAAGTCCCTTTTAATCAGGAGAACCTTAAAGCTGTATGAGAACTTCCACTGTGGCCTTGGAAGTGACTGAACTTGTCCAAAGGGTCTCTTCCAGTAGAAGCGCCTCCCAAAGGCTCAGCTGAGCCTTAGGGTAGCTGCAAGATTTTTAAAAAGCAGGTGTGCACCTTGCACCCCGTTTCCAAGCTCTACAAGCTTTGCCACGAGGAATCACGGCCAGGTGGGAGAGCCAGCCGTGTCAAACAAAGCACCTCTGAATCCCCCAAATAAATAAAGGATTTGATACAGCCTCCTTCTGGAGTTACTTATCAAGCTTCTTAAGACACTCGAGCAAAAACTAAATCACGGAAGCACCAAAAAATAAAAATAAAAGGAAAGAAAAAGGCCACAAATAAGTGGTGGAGAAGGGAAAAAGGGGGGGAGGTGTTACATTCTTTCAAGTTAAATTCCTCTTACCTTTAACTACTTGTTCAAGTTAAACAAGAATTCATATATTAAATAACAAGGAAATAACCCAGAACAGAAGTCTCAAATCTTTCCAAAACGCCAACCCACCTTGTGTTTCATGGGGACCAGGATGGTCTAAGAATTAAAAGGAATAAATATCAGGATTTCCCCAAGGGCGTAGTTCGGTCCGAAAGGGAATCTGTCGTCCCAGCAAACGTCGTCCTGAGGATGCGTCAGAAACGGCACAGGGTTCAAACAGGGGTGGCGGCCAGAGTGAAGGTGCAGGGGTGCCCTCCCGGGCAAGGAGGGGCATCTGGCTTGCACCCGCGGCACATGTCCCGATCTGGCTTTGCCAGCTGGCATCACTACCAAAGGCTGGGCGGCTCCTCGGCCACCCGGCTTTTGAACAAGGTTATTTCATCCAGGTGCATCATGGGGACATCCCGGATGACCTCGGTCAAGTCCTCGTGCAGGAGGGGAAACACCACGACGCTCAAGGCAGGCCGGTCCACCTGAAAGCTAAACCACAAACACAACGTTTAAGGCCAGGGAGGAACGAAGACCAGGGGAGAAGCAGATCAGGGCATTTAAGAAAGAGGTTGCCTACATTCCAGTTGTGCAGACTCTCAAGACTTTTAGCATTTATAAAAAATGACCATGAATTCCCTCTTGGCTGCTCCTCGTCTGCTGCCTATCCTGCATGAACTTCGTATCTGAAGTGTGCTGCCAAACAGAAAGGCAGGATCAACCACTCAAACAGGGGTGCAACAGAAAGTTTTGACTGAGGTTGGAAGATCAATGGCCTCTTCCCCTCTTGCTCCCACCTCCAGCTTGAATACAGTGGTGCCTCGCTTAACAAGTGCCTCGCTGAGCGATGAAATCGCTTAACGAGGCGCTCTGGGCCATCGCTGGAGCATTCGCTCAGCGATGGCCCCTATGGGGATTTTTCGCTTTGCGATATTCGCTAAGCGATTCGCTTAGCGAATATCGCATAACGAAGCGGGGGAGAACAGCTGATCGGCGGTTCCAAAATGGCCGCCGGAAGGTCCGCGCCGCATTTTCGCGCCCTGCCCTCGCTTACCGAGGGCGCGAAAATGGCGGCACTATGGCAGAACCTCGCTTAACGGTGAGTTTTCAAGCCACAGGCACGCATTGAACGAAGTTCAATGCGTTTCTATGGCTTTGTTTATTCCGTTTAGTGATGTTTCGCTATAGCGAAGGTTAATCCGGAACGGATTAACCTCGCTATGCGAGGCACCACTGTACTTTTATTCCAAGGACCTTCTGCTGGGATGCTAATTTCCCCTTATTTTAAAAAAGGGGAGAGGAGTGGACCGCTGCTAATCTCCCCCTCCTTCCTCCACCAACAGCGGACGTGAATTTAATGCAAGAGGGAAAGGCCCTGCACCAGCAGGGCTGTAATTGCAAAGTAGCAAAAAAAAAAAAAGGACGGCTGGCGTTAAATCCATGCATGATATTTACCAAAATAGGGAGCTGTGGGGGGAGGAGGGAGTAAGAGAAATAATAATACAAAGCTGCCTTCGACAGCATGCTGCATATAATGACAGCCACGCAGGAAGGCAATAGGAAACGCAGCAGGAGGGGCAAGATAAGGCAGGCTGGGAAAATCAAACGCATGCACACAAAGCGGGTTAAAATATTTGGTGTTGATCGCCAAACGGGGATAGGTGCGGGACATGTCTGTTGCACGACGGGAAGGGAAAGAAGCACCCACCGGAGCATCAGGAACACATCTGACCAGTAGGAGCGCCACCAGCATGGGGGAAAATAATCACCACTAAGTGGAGTCTCCCTTATTATTGTGTGTGTTGTTTTGCCGTCTTTCCTCCAACGAGCCTAAGGCGGCCTGCATAGCTCTCCTCCTCCAACCCACTTTTCGTCTTCCCAATTACCCTGTGAAGGTGGAACGGGTTGAAGGAGAAGGAATGAGCCCAAGCCCCTCAAAAGGGAACCTCCGCAGGAGAAAAGTGGCTCTTGTAAATCAGCAGAAACAAAAGGATCAAGTATTTGTCTGCTGCGGGGGGACTGTGCAGGCCGAGCTACCTCCAGAGGGGCGACAGGCACCCTCTTTGGCTTCGCCAGAGATTTTTTTACTCTCATGAAGAGTAAAGGTTTGAAAGGACCGCTTTAACTCATGCAAACTTGCCGAGGCAGAGCGTGATTCCCCCTCCTTCTACACTATCCGATGATAGTGGTGGTGGTGATGATTTTAATGCAAACACATCTTGTTATTTTGACCTCTGTGTGTGCTGGGAGAGCTTTTCCCTATCTTGAACATTTCAGAAGATTTCCTTAACATGCTGCTGCTGTTGCTGTTACACAGATTGCGGCCAACGCTCGCTGCGTTACATGCTACAGTTCTTCCTTTCCAGCGGGGAAGGGGGAAAGGATTCTGCAGCGCACATCAGAAATGGAACTTGGAAATACTTAGCTCAATCTATACAACATGTTAGAAATCTGTGCAACCTCTTTTGGTTCTCCTTGTTATGGGAGAGGCAGATAATGGGAAGCAAACACTGATAGTCCTCAGCTTGCAAAATAATAATAATAATAATAATAATAATAATAATAATAATAATAATAATAATAATAATAATAATAATAATAATAATAATAATAATAATAATAATAATAATAATAATAATAATAATAATAATAATAATAATAATAATAATAATAATAATAATAATAATAATAATAATAATAATAATAATAATAATAATAATAATAATAATAATAATAATAATAATAATAATAATAATAATAATAATAATAATAATAATAAATAATAATAAAAACTCCAGCCAGCCACTGCTTTGCTTTCTGAGATAATCTGCAAAGCTTCCTTACCTACGCAATCTACACAAGGCAGAAGCTGGCTATTGATTTTCCTTCTTCTTTTTTAAAATGAAAACCCAGATTCCTCCGAAAGCTGCATTCCACGCTGCTGCCCGTGACCACATCCTGTACAACCACAAAGCCAAGGCTGAACACCGATTCGCCCTCCCTCCCCCACCCCTGGCCCCAATTTCCAGATCTCCTGCAATGCATTTGCTTTAATCAAAGGCCTTTTGCTTGAACTCCTCTTAAAAAATACTGACCGTGAGGAACCACAATCTTCTAAATGCTGGAAGGAAATGGGATTTCTCTCTCTTCCCCCACCCCTTTTCTCATCAATCTTCAGCTGCTCTGGATTAAATGGACTCAAATGGCGGGGCTCGTGTTTAACGGATCCTCAAGGACCAAAAAGAGACGGATTAAAGGTATGGCTCTTTTTGACTTCTGCTGGGAAGGTAGACCCTCAGAACCTTCAAGGGTTTTAAACTGGATTTATCAGTTTAAGAGATCTACTGGATCTCCAGCATGCAGCAGGCCAGTCTGCAGGAGTGAATAAATGAAGACATGGACAAAGGCCATACCTTTGACCTTCCCTCTCAATCTTGGCACCCCTTCCTGGTCAAAAGCGAAACCTCAACATTGATCACAAGGAAAATGTCTTTTGTTAAAGCTAATGGCCAAAATCCTGGTAACGCAACCGGCATCCATCTCATTGCCGACCCACCGCAAGATAAGAGGCGGTGCGCCAAGTGTTGTCTTATTTTGCAGCAACTGGCCAACAGGATTTATGCCAATCGTGTTACAAGCAGGGTTAAAAACTTGGATTTGGTCAATGGATCACCGTCACCCTTCTGAGACTGAGCAGCTCCAAATCCGTTGGATGACAGCAGGCGGAACCATATCGTCATGCTGTGAACAGCCCCTCCCTCCCAGCTCCTGGGAAGAGTGGAGAAAAATTCGTAGACGAGAGCGACGAGGAAACTGTATTATGATTCCTGGTTCCATGACAGCATCATTCATGGTCCTTCGATGGGAATGGAGTGATGGATGGGAGAAAAACAGGTAGGTTCATTCTCAAAAGAGAAAACCAAAGACCCAACAGTAATTCTGTGAGGTTGACTCTGGAGATCACCCTCACAGAATCCCCGTTGGGTCCAGTCTGGAGGCAGCTGGCTGGAAAGTTTGGTGAGTTAGGGTCTCTGGCTGTGGAGCCAGAGGTTGGGAGTTTAAGGACTCGAGAAGAGCCAGCCTGGGTGGCCTTGGGCAAAAGCCGCACAGTCCCAGGGCACCCCACAGAAGAAAGGAATGGTAAAGCACTGGTGAGTACTCTCTACCTAGAAAACTCTGGAAAGGGTCCACCATGTCAGAAATGACTCAATGGCACGTAATTATTCTTATTAATCCTGGAGGTCCATTCTAGACAGGAATGCATCAGAGAACTGGCCACCAATGTGCTAACTTCAGCAAAAAAATAAATTTTAAAAATGGCTTTAAGCTAGAATCTGGAAAGTCTCCCATATGCTTTCACTGAACGAACGGATGGATGATCCAACTCGGGGACCATGTATGTACGGGTCCAGCAAACGCATTTAATTCAGTGAGAAAAAGGGAGTAAATCTTTTAAATAAATGCACCAACTTCCTGGCCTTCTGGAACATATTTAATATTGCTCAGCATGTCTGCTTCAAAAGGGAAGCTAAACCCCGACAGCTTTATTGTTCTTATTTTGGTCTTTGGTTCTGGGATTACATCGGATCTGGAAACCCTGCTGTCTGCAGAGAGATAATTTACGAAACCCTAGCCTGGCCATTTTTGCACACACACATACCCCAATGTAGGCTCGTGTGTACAAATACGACAAGCAGGAAAGTGCTAGGTTTGTTTGTGGATTACAAACTTGCAGGCTTAACTCCAAGGAAGGAATTACCGCTTGAAAGAGAGAGGCATGGGCTGAAAACTTCTGGCTAAAGTGACCCTCTGAGCCCAGTGGGTATTTTATTTAAAGTGCAAAACACCGTCTTGGGTGGCACCAGTGGATGGCAGGCCTGGGACAAGAAAGGACACCTCGGTGCCCCTTTCACAGCACAAACGCAGCAAGCGGGCATGCGTCAGTGGCGCTCTTTGCCAAAAAAGGAGGTCCAAGGTGTACTTCCAGGGATATTTCACTACACTCTCATGTGCAGGTTGTTTCCAAAGAGTTACAAGCCATAAAACCCTACATTGCTCACGTTCAGGCTACCTGAAAGACGATCTTCTTCCCTATGAGATCCTGGACAGGAGGGGAGCAAGACGTTGGTTTCTCAATCCTGCCACCCTAATACAAAGGTTTGGTGGGGACATGAAAGAAGGCTTTCTTGGCATCTGTGGAACTCCCCGCCAAAGGAGACTCTCTCTCTCTGTCTCTCTCTCCCTCTCTCCCCCTACTGTCCTTCTTCTGGCAAACAAAGACTTTTTGATTCAAGTGGCTTTTTGGCTACTCACTGCCAGCTAGCGACAGGGCTTTAAAACGGATTGAAGCTGCTTTCCTTTTACCTCAAGGGTGTGGTTTTTAAATTCCTTTTGCACTCAAAAGGTGCTTTAATACAATACTTGGTTTAACTGTAATTGGGCACTGCACCTTCTGGTCTGTTTTTATCGGCGCCTGCTTTTAATCCTGTTGC